AAACACAGTTGTAAGTTTTATAAATTTAATAAAGTGAGAATTAACCTTTGTAAATGATAACAAATAATAAATAATAGTCAAAATTTAAACAAGAATAAAGTCTTTCAAAATTGCACAGGAATAAATAGTTTTATCAAAAATATAATTTAATCTGGCAAGTGAATAACAATAATCTCAATAAATAAATAAGAAGTTTGTGAAAAATTTAAAAGGAAAAAATGGGAGGAATGTGAAAAACCTATGAAAATAATTTATGTCCCTACCGAGTTTCCATACTTATGAAAAAGGTCAAAAATCCTATTAAATGAATAAATGAATGTCAAAGGAATGAGCTACATCACTCAATATGACTACTATCAACACTCTAGAGTTGAACTGAAAATATCAATGCTAATTCTAGGTTCTAAAAATAACTGACCCAGAAAATAAACAACACCAAAAATAAATAATAAATAGTAAATAGTGGTTCTAGGAATTATACCTGTTATCTACAAATCCCTAGACCAGGCTTGACTTGGAAAGGGGAAAATAAATTTATTCTATTAAACCTACATCCTAACTGTTTCCTAAAAAAAATCTAGAATCTGTGAAAAACGTGAAACTAAAGCTAGCTAAGACCTAGAGTACTGTTAAATCATAAGATTTTGTTAGCACTACTAAAGGGTACTAAGCAAATAAGTGCGTTTAAACCAGGAGGTTTTATTAGCACTGTAAAGAGGAACTAACCATTAGGTCTGTTCCCCAACCCAAGTGAAGAAAACTACACGAACACGGCTTTAAATACCCTAGCTATAGGCCCAAATATAAAAGCCAATAAACATCAAAGATTCTATAGCTAAGTTAACCAATCAGAACACAGCTACCAAAAGTACTACGGAAAGACTGCCAACATGGATGACACTTCCTGTTTAAAAAGTAAAACATGTGGAATGTCAACACATGTCCTAACTTATAACAGACAAATAATAAAGGGGTTTTACGTAAGTAACAACTGAAAACAAATGATAAATAGAATAATCTGACTGAAATATCAGCAAATACTTGTAAAATATTATTTACGAAATGATGGCTATGAAATAAAAATCTAAACCACTACACATGTATTGTTAAAAAGTTATACAATATTCACTTCTTATAGTAACTGTTGTTTATAACGAGGACATACAAATAAAAAATGGTGTTCATCTTCAACAACAGTTTGACAATTAATACAATATCTTTCATCTCTTGGTATAATTGAATTACAATATCTGCCAACCTCTATCTGTAATTTGTGGGCACTTATTCTTAACCGAGTCAAAAAAAGAACGAAGATTCTTGCAAACGGAACAAAGGATGACTGCACTTAACGCCTGTTTTTGGGTCTTTTTCGGTTGCTTCTGTTGCTTTTATATCTAAACTTTATTTCACTTTTGTATGTTTATGAAAGAATCCTGTCAATTTGGAACCAAATTTAAATCTTAAAATGATTTTAGACTGTGATACAATAAAATGATTCAATGTTTTTTGTCCTTAGTGCTTTCAAAATATAGTGAATTTACACTTACCTGCCCTTGAATGAACATTAGATATGCATAAGAGGTGGAGCTAACATTGTAAATATGGGTCTAAAATTAGACTTGATAAATAACAATGACATGTTTGAAAAAAAGAATGTGGTCACTCTTTCCAATCTCCCTCTCCATTCTGTATGGCACAAATACACTTCTGACAAAGGTTTCAAAACGAAGCTAACAATATGAGCACGTCAATGTAATTAAAGCAGATTGTATATCCATGCCAGATGACTTAACGTATTCGAACACAATGTCCTAGTTAGCACAAAACATCACAGTGTCTAACCGACATACTAAAATAAGCGGAAGTTCTTGCGTATCGAAGCGTGTAAACAAACCCAGAGAAGAACAAGTACCTGTTAAATTGCAAGGTGAGCATGATTATTGACACACAAACATGATGAATTAGCGTAATTATCATTCTGCATATTCCGCTGAACAAGTGTCAATTGTCTGTATTAAAATTGTATGAATATTTAAGGAGAAATTTAAAAAACGCAATCGTTTGCTCACATATTTACACATGCATGTAACGTTTGTACGTTGTTTATAGTCCATAATAGATATAATTATTTCTCTAAATGGCAAATATTGAAAATTATGATACAGAACAATGTCATGTATACTTCGGAGTTTTATATTTAAATGTTGAGGTTTGAAATTACACAATTTAAAACACCTCTGTCATTGTAATCACTGTATGCGTCGTTTCAAACGAGATTGTTCGAATTGTATTGTTCGTTCCTAAAGTAACGCAAGTTGTACTGGTATGTATTTGAACAAACAGGAGATCCACAAGTCTTGACAGTCATCTGGGTACCATAGTCCATACATGCATTTAACCTTACAGTCAGGGTGTTTCATACTTTCATTTAAACTTAATTTTGGCGTCTAAATTTGAGGAGAATTAACAATATTAATAGTTTTCAATAAAAGGTAAAAAAAACAAAACAAAAACAAAAAACAGCCAAACAAACAGACAATAACAAAACACACACAAATAAATAAAAATAAAAACAGAAAAACATAAAATATTTAAAAAAAGAAAAGAAAAACAAACACCCCCCCCCCCAAAAAAAAAAAACAGAACAAAAAACTGTAAACACACGACGGACGTCGACAGACGAGAACCAAAATGTCGTAGGTAAAATGAGTAACTCAGGTGACTTACATGTATTTTTAAAATGTTTTATTAACAATGTTTTGATAAAATAAATTCACGATTTTTATTATTTTTTTATTTCTTAAGGATGGATGGCTGTATATTAGAGGCAGTTGACATCAGAAGTAGAACCATGCAACATTGTAATATGTGCTTATACAGCACTTAAAGAAAACATGATACCAAAAGGCATAAACGCACCAGGCATGATATAAACTCACAGACTACTGCTGTTTGTTCTGGAAAAGTGCTATATATAAATATATTTTCGATCAATGTGGGAAAATATACACGTCGTAACAAGGTTTAACGCTGTATAAACTTGGTCCGTTGATTAGGTCATCAAATTGTAAACTTTGAATTGAATGTTGTTGTTTTGTTGTTTTTTTTTTTTTTTTGAGACTTGATTTGGAATAAAAATTTGTCTTGGTGTTTCATTTTATTTGGAATAATTTTGTCTTTTATTTCTTTTCTTGTTCTTCGTTGTGCTGTCATGATCATTTTTCAGAATTGATACCCCATTTCAATGACAGTAGTGTTAAAAAAATTAATTTTTTCATCGATTTCACTGAAAGTGGGGGATATTAATTTGGGTCTGTCTGTCAGTCCGTCTGTCCACCTTTCTGTCTGCAATGAAATTTCTCCCTGTGGCCTATGGAAGACCCGCCCTATTGATTTTGTTATGTAAAATTTTATTGCAAATACTCAAATGCTTCTCGAGATATCGCGCGGAAACGAAAGTGTTACAGACAGACAGAAAGACGGACGGACTGACGGACGGACAGGCAAAGCCAAATTAATGTTCTCCACTTTCAGTGAAAGCGGGGGACAAAAATAGGTATTGGAATTCACTTGTACCTCAATACATGATAGAAATTTATCTGCCAATGAAGTCATTTATTTTTTTTAATTGTAAGATAAACCCTGTACTAAGTTCATTAGTTATAAATTTATAAAGAGTTCAAATTTTGATAAAATTTTTATATTATTATATTTATGGAATGTTTTTAAGTTTAGTGTGAATTATTGGTGTGTAAATCACACAGACGTGTCACGTAGGCATATTTCATGAAGCGCGCTAGCGCTTCATGCATGAAAAATATGCCTACGTGCAAGTCTGTGTGATTTACACACCAATAATTCACACTAAACTTAAAAACATTCCTTATATTTACATTTTACAAGTTTAAAAGCACTAATAATATACTCAATATTTGAATTTCTTGCTGCCCTATATCGTTACATTTTTATTTACGTCTCTGTAGCTTCATTATGACGTCACTTTAGCGCGAGTTTTACCGTGTATATTTCTACGCGTGAGTATACACAAAAATGACTTTCAAATCAATTGCACAGTTGGCTTAGTAGAAAAACACAGCAAATGTAAACAGTAACGTTCAACGCATTATATGTAAGTATAATATTTTATTATATGATTGAATAATTCCCATCTCTCTGATTGCCTGAAATCCAACAATGTTAGAAAAGTACTGTTATATTGACCAGCACATGACCTTCCAGGTCAATACAAGGAATTCTTTATTCTATATTTGACCAAAAATAGATAGGGGAATTCCAAATTGATGCAAATAGTTTTGGAAAGTTATTTCACTTGCACCTGACTTCCACTCATATGAACATAGCATTAAGGCACATAACTTCTTGGGTGAGGTTTCGGGGGGAAGGGGGGGTGGGTTGCAGGAGGCCTGCCCCTCTCCCTACCTTTTGAGAAGGGAAAGTTTTAAATTAAATTTTAATGATAGAAAATTTCAATGAAACCTTCCCTCTCCTCATTTATGGATCTTTACATCCCACCAAATAAAATTTTGAGCTGGGAGAATTCTTTACCTTGGGGGGGGGGGGGGGGGGGGCAGGGGGTAGGGGGTGGAGGGGCTAGTCAAAGATTTGTTTTCAGGTAAGTTGTCATTGTCATTTTTTTTCCTTTCAATACCCCCTTTTTCAAAATTAATCCTATATATATATATATGCCTGACATTTATTTTTTTCTACATTGCACCTAAACTAGAATAGAAAATTCCAAAATAATACAACTGGTTTTTAAATTTAACCCGTTTCTCTCATTATGTTCGGCTAGTACCTCAGTA